GGAATTCTATAGGACTGTGCTATAGGGCAGTATGGAGCTATAGGGCTCAGGGACAGCATGCTGCCCTGTTGCAGGATGGAGCTATGGCTATAGGGCCAAGGGGCAGGGCTGCCCTATAGGGCAGTGGTGCTGTGCTACAGGGCAGGATGGAGCTATATCCCCAAGGGCCAGTATGTACTCTATAGGCTCAAGGAGCGGCATCGTGCTATAGGACAGGGCCAGCAGGGCAGGCAGGTTGCACTATAGGGTCTATACTATAGGAGGGGCAGCGCTGTGCTATAGGGCAGGAGCTATAGCCCCGAGGGCCAGCGGGTACTAAAGGTTGGGACAGCCCCATAGGCCCTGCGGGGCAGTATGCAGTGTATAGGCTCAAGGGCCAGCAGCGTGCTGTAGATCAGGAGGGAGGTGCTGTAGGGGGAGAAGGGGCTATAGCCCCTAGGAGCAGCGCTGTGCTATAGGGGAGGGATGGGGCTATAGGAGCAGCACTGTGCTATAGGGTAGGATGGGGCTATATCCCCCAGGAGCAGAGCTGTGCTATAGGGTAGGATGGGGCTATAGGAGCAGCGCTGTGCTATAGGACATGATGGGGCTGTATCTCCTAGGAGCAGTGCTGTGCTATAGGGTAGGATGGGGCTATAGGAGCAGTGCTGGGCTGTAGGGGTAGGACAGGGCTATAGGAGCAGCGCTGGGCTATAGGGTAGGACGGGGCTATAGGAGCAGCGCTGTGCTATAGGATAGGATGGGATTATAGGAGCAGCACCGTGCTATAGGGTAGGATGGAGCGATATCCCACAGGAGCAGCGCTGTGCCATAGGGTAGGACGGGGCTATAAGGAGCAGGGCCATGCTATAGGACATGACGGGTCTATATCTCCTAGGAGCAGCGCTGGGCTATAGGGTAGGACGGGGCTACAGGAGCAGTGCTGGGCTATAGGGTAGGATGGAGCTATAGGAGCAGCGCTGTGCCATAGGGTAGGACGGGGCTATAAGGAGCAGGGCCATGCTATAGGACATGACGGGTCTATATCTCCTAGGAGCAGCGCTGGGCTATAGGGTAGGACGGGGCTATAGGAGCAGCGCTGCGCTATATGGCACAACAGCGATATAGGCGCCAGGGCCAGGCGGGCGCTGGAAGCCCGAGGGGCGTGGCTTGCCGAGAGCCCCGCCCCCCAGCGCTGTGACGCCCCACGCACGGCCCCGCCC